GTTACTGATGGTAGCCTTTGTTACGTTGGTCCCAGCTCTCTGCAGGTCATTCACTAGGTCCCCCCGTGTGGTCCTGGGCGTTTTGCTCACCGTTCTTGTGATCATTTTGACCCCATGGGGTGAGATCTTGCGTGGAGCCCCAGATCGAGGGAGATTATCAGTGGGCTTGTATGTCTTCCATTTTCTAATTATTGCTCCCACAGTTGATTTGTTCACACCAAGCTGCTTTCCTATTGCAGATTCAGTCTTCCCAGCCTGGTGCAGGTCTACAATTTTGTTTCTGGTGTCCTTCACCATAGTGGGGGTTTGGAGTGTGACTGTTTGAGGTTGTGGACAGGTGTCTTTTATACTGATAACAAGTTCAAACAGGTGCCATTGATACAGGTAATAAGTGCAGGACAGAGGAGCCTCTTAAAGAAGAAGGTACAGGTCTGTGAGAGCCAGAAATCTTGCTTGTTTGTAGGTGACCAAATACTTAATTTCCACCACAATTTGCAAATAAATTCTTTCCAAATCAGCCAATGTGATTGTCTGGATTTTTTTTCTCATTTTGTCTCTCATAGTTGAGGTCTACCTATGATGCCAATTACAGGCCTCTCTCATCTTTTTAAGTGGGAGAACTTGCACAATTGGTGGCTGACTAAATACTTTTTTTCCCCACTGTACCAAAAATTCCCCTCAATCTGAGGCTTCAAGCAAACATATAGATATATAGGGTATAACTCCCATTTGTAAAAATTGCAGTCTAAAGTGACTCAGCTTAACACACTATTACTTGCCACCGGTGGAAGTGAATAAAGTTACTTGAATCGCCAACAAATCTCAGCAGAGTGGTTGCCTTGTTATTTTCTATATTGCCTCATGCTTATCCAAGATGGAGCTGCAACGCTTGCTTCTTTCCCCTCGTGGATACCGCAGCCTATGAAGACAGCGAGCATGATGATGTCATTACGTTGACGCTTTTCGTCCGCCAATCATCGCAGACTTCGTCAGAACTGGGAGGGGACGACTCATCCATTGTCTTATATAGTGCCTTAATTGCGCCTTTTTTTAACCGCATACGTCGCCCTCTTGTGTTGAAATGTCATCACTACATTAAAATAAAAAATCCCACAGAAAAGCATATGATTGTAAAAACATTAGGGAAATGGCCCAATTTAATCAGAGTCTACTTCAGACAGTGTTTAAACTATATTTGCTGTATTTTACATATAGTATAATCATATTTATCAGATAGTACTTGTGGGCATATTATGTCTAATTAATTCAAGAATACTTTGAAATTGAGATCTGTATTTAATCCTTGTGGCAATAATGTACTCAGTATAAATCCAGTATTTTTCTTTCTGAAGGAGTACTTTGTCAAAATCACCCCGCCTTGAGGAGATATTCAACGAAAAGATTCCCTTTACTTTCAAGCCTTCCGTTCTCCCTTTATGTACATCCTTAAAGTGTTGGGCTAGGGCAGTGGTCGGCAAGCCGCGGCTCGCGAGCCTCATGCGGCTCTTTACACGTTTTAATGCGGCTCTTGTGTGCCGGGCGCCCGCTCCCCTCCCTCCTCTCGGGCGGCAGGGACTCTGCAGCGTGATCCAAAAAAAAAACAGGCAGGGCAGCGCGCTCAAATGCAATGATTGGCCAGTCTCGCTGCCACTTACATCCTGATAGCCAGTGATTGGCTGTCAGGATGTGTGTAGGTGGGGCAGTGTGACGAACGTGAGAGGAGCTAGGCTCCTCTCACAGTCCGCCCTGAAGACCGGAACGGCGCGGGAACACAGCGAGAGGAACACGCGGAGCAAAGGTAAGTGAATTGACACGGGGGACTTGGCTTACTACTTGCTACTTACTTACTACTATATGAGGGAGAATGAATTAATATGGGGGATGAATTACTATGGGGGGATGAATTACTATATGGGGGATGAATTACTATAGGGGGGATGAATTACTATATGGGGGATGAATTACTATGGGGGATGAATTACTATGGGGGATGAATTACTATATGGGGGATTAATTACTATAAAAACTTATTGAAACTAAAAACAGTGTACCATCTTATGTATTTTCAGTTTTAAAAATGTGGCTCTCAAAATAAATTTCAATCGTGGTTTTGGCGAGATTTGGCTCAGTTGAAAAAAAAGGTTGCCCACCACTGGGCTAGGGGGTTCTCTCTCTCCTTTTCACTTCTATTTTTATTATCATTCTTGATATCTCTCAAATGTTCACCAATTCTTATTCTCAGTGTTCTTTTGGTTTTTCCTATATATATTTTTTTTACATGGGCATTCTATCATATAAACCACTTTACTACTAAAACAATTAATGAAGTTTCTTATTTGGAAAGCTTGAGCTTGCAGCTCCATCTTGGATAAGCATGAGGCAATATAGAAAATAACAAGGCAACCACTCTGAGGAGATTTTTTGGCAATTCAAGTGACTTTATTCACTTCCACTGGTGGCAAGTAATCGTGTGTTAAGCTGAGTCTCTTTAGAGCGCAATTTTTACAAACGGGAGTTATACCCTATATATCTATATGTTTGCTTGAAGCCTCAGATTGAGGGGAATTTTTGGACTCATTAGGTATATATTATATACAGCCAGTGATATGGGACATCTGTCTCATGCATTTCTGTAGGAACCGCACCAACTCTGCAAAAAGAGTAATTTTTAGAACCCCTAGAGGGGCATTTATTAAAGGAACCATTGATGTTTGAATGTCCTCTATTAAACTATCCATATTAACTACTCTGGACTGTTACTCCTTTACCAATACACCAATGTTTTTTCACATCTACAGTGAAGAGAATTTTTTTTCTGACCTTCCTCATGGTAATTCACACTAAAATATCTCATGGCACTATAGCACCATTGGTATTTACTTCTCATTATCTAATATTTATTCACTTTTAGAGTCACTCCTTATTGTGGATTCATTTCCACCTATGTTGGCTATCCATGAAAGTTTATACCCACTATGCACACAGTATGGCACAGTCATTGAGAAGGTAAAGAGAGATATATTGTATACTCAATTAATCTGAATACGTGCATCCTGTTAGGCTGATGTCAAGATTATTATCCCCTGTCTCCTTTATATTCATCATTATCCATTATTCAATTCCTAGGAGTTCATTCATTTTCACTGTGGTGTTCATGAAGGAACAGCTAAAGAAGGAAACGATTCCACTAGGCTATAATATATGAAACTTCACTGCAGATGAATACAGAAAGGAAATTCTATTGCCTCATATTGGTCATTTTTGCCTATACAGCCATTTTTGAAGACGTCGAACGGTTCTTTATTTTAATTCTTTGATTTTAATATGATTGCAACATGTTCACTCTGTCAATGTCAACCTTCTTCATGATCTAAGTGATCGAATAAATACAATATTGCATTTATCTTTGTAGTAATAATTTACTCCGCATAGGATTTAATTAACCACTTCCCAGGTGGTCCTGCACTAGTCAACTGCCTTTTTTTTGTGTGTTCTAGTATTTTTAGGTTTATAATCCACACTTTTATATAAGTAAGTCGGAGATACTATTAAGATACGATTATCGTATCAATTTGGATGGCATTTGTTCTTTCTTGATAGTACTGATTATGTCTGCAGACATGTTTCTGGTTAAGTCAGTATGGTACTGACTAGTCTGGTGACTTCTTTTTACTTTTCTCACTACAAACCTGGGGGAATTATTAAAAAGTGTCTGAGACCAATTCTATCTGAACTGATGTCATTGCCCATAGCAAACAATCAGCTTTCTTCTTTCATGAATTCCACACAGCTTAGAAAAGGAGGATTTAAGAGATAGTTGCCTGTGCTTCAGTTGGGACAAATTTAGTTTCAGACACTTTTTAATACTTTCCCTCATTGTGTCTGTGGACATGTTATGGTTGTTAGTACAATCCTGACTGTGTTTGTGGACATGTTTCTTGTTGTGTAGGTGTGGTAACTGTTGTGTCTTTGCTGACATGTTTCTGGATGTGTCATTATGGTAATTGTCTTGTCTCTGTGAATATGTTTCTGGATGTGTCATTATGGCACAGATTGTGTGTCTCTGTAAACATGTTTCTAGATGTGTTGTTATGCTACTGAATGTGTCTCTGTAAACATGTTTCTGGTTGTGTTATTATGCTGCTGATTGTGTCTCTGTAAACATGTTACTGGATGTGTTATTATGCTGCTGATTGTGTGTCTGTAAACATGTTTCTGGATGTGTTATTATGCTGCTGATTGTGTCTCTGTAAAACATGTTACTGGATGTGTTATTATGCTGCTGATTGTGTCTCTGTAAACATATTTCTAGTTGTGTTATTATGCTGCTGATTGTCTCTCTGTAAACATGTTTCTAGTTGTGTTATTATGCTGCTGATTGTGTCTCTGTAAACATTGTTTCTGGATGTGTTATTATGCTACTGATTTCTCTGTAAACATGTTTCTAGATGTGTTATTATGCTACTAATTGTGTCTCTGTAAACGTGTTTCTAGTTGTGTTATTTGCTACTGATTGTGTCTATGTGAACATGTTTCTGGATGTGTCATTATGATTCTGATTGTATCTCTGTAAACGTGTTCCTAGTTGTGTTGTTATGCTACTAATTGTGTCTTTGTGAACATGTTTCTGGATGTGTCATTATGGTTCTGATTGTGTCTCTGTAGACCTATGCTTGAGTGTGTCATTATGGTACTGATTGTGTCTCTGTTGATATATTTGCTTGTGCTTATGTCAGTATAATATAGATTGTGACGAATAATACTTTATTGATAATTTATTGAGAAGTTATTGCCTATGTGCTATTAGTTATTAATATGGTAATTCTATTTTTCAATACAGTTAAAGTGTTACTAAACCCACAACAGTAAAATCAGTCTGTATATGAAGTAATGCATGCTTGTTATACTCACTGTGGAACCTAAAGGGTTAATCTCCGCATTGTGTAAAAAGGCTGTTTGATCCTGTCTTCTCTGATCCTCCCCTTCTTCCAGTGTCCCCTTCTGATCTCCTGATAAGACATATTGTGTGGAGATACTCTGCACATGCTCAGCTTGTTGTGTATTGCTAAAGATTTTTTTTTTTTCATTGGGAGAGTGCATGTGATCAGCACAGGGCCAATCAGCACTGTCCAGACAGAGGTCATGGGTTCTGCATTTTCCTAGAGCAGAATGAAAACTCCTACAAGCTTTGACCAGTGCTCTGCTGGACACTGATAGAAGTCACAAAACTGCTCTAACTGCTGATGAGAAAAGGTATTTAGTAGTTTATATTTACAAAACTAATTGCATTTCCATGTTCTGTGCACTGTGGGAGAAACTGATATAGTGAATGCAGGGTCCTGAGTTTAGTAACACTTTAAATTTGTATCTGTGTCTTTGATTGTTTTTTAATTTTCAAAGGTATATATGAAAACATTCTTGTGTCCTGTGTAATAGTGTATGGGAAGAGAGGAGGCAGTACACAAATCAGTTGCTGAGGGGTATCACAATATAGCTAGATTTGGGAAAGAAAGTATAAATCCAGCCCTGGTTTTTGTTCACTTTATACTCTGTGAGAGAATGTTGGCAGGTTTGCCTTACACTTTCACATCACAATGATCAGACATTAGCACCAGAGACATGCTATTCTTCCAATCTCAAACCTTTTAACTTCATTGCCATTAGGAGCTGTACCTTCTCCTGTAGAGCTGGCTGTCCAGCCAGACATCTCTGTCTACACTGACAGCTCTGATTGCTGTCCTTTCTATCTGCAAGCCTTACATTGCCCCACATAGCATTTTTACTTATGAGGCTTCTCTGTCGATGTTTCACAGTGGAATTTTTTCTGCTACAGCTCAAACTTACTTTTATTTACAGCCCGGATAGGAGACACAAATCCTGAAAATGAATTGGCTTTCCGCAACTCTTCTGCTATAGTGCTTTTGCTCTACCTTATGTATATGCACATGGGATGCTGTGATATTTAGGGGCATATTTACCACAAGGCAAACAAGGCATTTGCCTTGGGCGGCATCTTTCAGGGGGGCAGCACCGCTGCCCGGAAGAAGGGACAGAAGAAGGGACACGTGGCACGGGGACCAGGTAGGATCTGAGATGGGCTGCTTGTTGGTGTATGCAGAGCCCAACTCTCGTTCCCAGGGATGTGCAGAGCTGTGAAGGTGAGTGTCTTTCTCTCCATAGCCGGGAAGGTGGGGGGATGTGTGTTAGTGGAAGGCTCTCTCAGGTGAAGGGGTAGGGGTGTTGTTGGTCAATGTCAGGTTTTATCGGGGGGGGGGGGGGGGGTCCGATTTTTGTGTTGCCTAGGGCAGCACAAAAACCTAAATACACCACTGGTGATCAAATGAGCAGCTTATTGCTTCTACTTGATGGAGACTATAGGCAGCACCCTTATGCACTCTGAAGTGTAACTTCACTTATAGTGACAATACAATTAGTGGATGTTGATACCTTGATCAAATTCGTGGATGTTTGATCAGCCCTGGCATGTCATACTCTTACCAGTCCCTGCTCCACAGAGTGTGCCCCAATCTTCATTCCAATGACGAGTTATTACCCTTCCAGTTCATAAACAGTATGAACTCTCCATTGTGAATGGATATTGACCAAACAGCATAGATTATGAAAAAGAAAGTGGGTAGACAGTGGATATCCAGCAGAACAATGACAGGTTAGTGTGTAACTTGATACAAAATAAACCCGCGCCTAAACCTAATAAATACATTAATAAGTGCTACTGCTCATAGATAAAAGAAAAAGCAATTATAAATATAACTAAACCACAGAGCAAAAATTAATAAAATAATAAATTTCATCAGTGAAATAAATATATGTGAATATATAAACACGTTTATATATTCGCCCCCTGTAGGAGGGGCGAAACGTGTTGACGCAATTTTCGGTTCCAACGGAGGCTTTGTGACGTCACGTCCGGTGAGTGGAGCGCACGCTGGCTGCGGAACTCCAGAGCCATTTTGTTGTAGAGGAGAACACATCCCCATACACTGCTGCCAGTTCACTTTCTACAGAGCCATGATTGATGTGATCTGATACCTGCTTGAGGGAGAAAGTTTACATTTATGATGCTTGTTACCTAAATGTGAGTGCATTATATGCATCGATTTTAACCAATTAAAGAGTTTATGCAATATTATACTATTAGTGTTTCTGTTACCTCTTTGCATTTTCATTTACCTGTGGGTAATCGTTTGGAGATTGTCAACCAAGAATTTCCTGAGTGGGATTCACTTTTAGAGGATATAGCCCACCTTTAAGCTTGTTTGACTCTTAAGCCCTATCAGCTAAGAGTCCATTCCATTTGGTGAGTGCTGACCATATTGGAAGTCAGGGATGGTGTGGGCACGTTGGAGTTTTTTTCAGCACTGGTTTTTTGATTGGAGCACATGTTTTCTCACACTTGATTTGGGACATTGGACTTTTATTTATTATTTTTTTTAATCTATTCACATATATTTATTTCACTGATGAAATTAATTATGTGTTATTTTATTAATTTTTGCGCTGCGGTTTAGTTATATTTATAATTAGTGAGTGACTTGTCAGGGGTGATCAGGGAAGGTATGGAAGCCCACTAAGGCGCACTAGTATACATTATGTAGGGACAATGTGACTTTACTGAAAGTTACAAAAAAAAACTAATTTTAAAATTTTGGGATGCATTGACATGTGTTGTACTTTTTACAATTTATTTTTATTTTTTTTGCAACACACATCACAAGACATGTATGGTGTTAACAGGCACATACAGAAGTTAGACAAAAAATGGAAACTGATTTGCAGGTGTGAATGTGGCAACATGTTTTATGTTGAAAGCAGAAGTGATGTAACATTCTTTTTCTTCTGCTGTGTGATGAGACTCCTAGCTAACAGGTGGGAAGCCTCATGTCGTGGACTCATGTCAGAGCTTGCTGAGCTTCAAAGAGAACAAATTTTGGTGCCGGCTTAGCTGGTGCCTCTGTGACTAAAGTTGCCAATTTATTTGCCGTGTACAGTATCAGAGGCTATGACGGCATATACAGTTTTCAGGAAAACGTCTGATAACCATGGTCAACTGATTGAAAGAGACAAAAAGTAATTGTTGAGGATTGTGACCCGAAATGAGAAAACTGCTGCAAAAGTGATTGCAGAGCTCAGGCTCAGTCCCATGAATTAAAGTGGTAGTAAACTCAATTTTTTTATTTTCACATTCAGGTAAGCGTATAATAAAGCTTACTTGTAGGTAAAATGAATATCTCCTAAATGTGCAATGTTTAGGAAATTGTCTAGTGAGCGGCAGCCGGTGACATCACCAGTGCATGCGCTCTGAAAGAACGGCTTACCCGTACCATTCCTTCAGAGCTCTGTGCCTCGGCCATGGCTCCCGCACACATACACAGGAGTAACATCATTGGCGGCATGACCATTCTAAGTGTCCGCACTCCAGGAACCTGGAAAGAAGACCGGGTAAAGATGATAGCCTTTGCAGCGGTGACTGCGTGCCGCTACAGGGCTTTGTTTCAAGGTAAGTCCTATAAAATAGGTACAACCTATATAGACTACCATTGCTGACTTCCTTTTGAAAATTCAAGTTGTTTTTCTGTGTCTCCAATGAGCTATTGACCTGAAGCCAACATAAAGCCAGTAAATTCAGATTTCCTGGTCTGTGTGGAGCAGTATTACAGCTAAGCAGTTCTTTTTTTTCTCAGAGAATAGGTGCAGGAACTCCCCTCTTCTGAGTCACTTCTTGTCTCTGCCCCCCCAACCCACTTTCGAGCACAGTCCCTTGGTTCCACCGCTTACCCACCTCCCAGTACTGCTCCTTATAGAAAGTACAGAGCCAAGTATCATTTTGTGGCACTAATTAACTTGTATGGAATTTGCTAATGATAACAGAAAAGGCAATTACCCTCCCAGCAACAATGGACCCCCACAACAAAATACCACCCCAGCAACAATAGACCCCCAACAGCAACCACAGATCTCCCAGCAGCCAACATCAATAGACTTTCCAGCAGCCAGCAACAATAGACCGCTCCCTCATCAGTAGATCCCTTTCAGCAACAATAGACTCCCCAGCAACAATAGACTGCCACACAAAATAGATCCCCTCCAGTGACAATAGATTCCCCCAGCAGCCAGCAAAACAGACCTTCCAGCACACCCCTTACCATTACATACATTCAGTGCTCTGCGTTCCCCCACATTCCTGCTGAAAAAATGCCCTGCGGCTAAGCATCTTGCATTTTAAAAGAAAATCAACAGTAGCAGATTCCGTTTAATAACATCAGAATTGCAATACTAGGTTTCTGTCACCAGAGGTCACCGTATGTAGATATTATAATCTTTACTAATAATCTTTTGCTCTGTTTAACCTTTTAAAGATGAAGCTTGAAACTAATTTCAACGCTTGAATGTTGTTTTGCGTCTTAGGTATATGTTAATAAACCTGTACATATCTTTGTGGCTACTTTCACACTGAGGAGTTTTTCAAGCATTTTTGCGTTAGAAAAAGCACTTGAAAAAAGCTCAAGAAAACTGCTTCCCTGTGTATGTGAAATGTATATCTATGTATGTTTTTCACTGAGGCATTGCGCTTGCGGTGCGGTGTAAAAACTCCTGCTTGCAGTATCTCTGGGGCATGTTCGGGAGTTAAAAAAACACCCCAAAACTGCTCTTCCCATTGAAATCAATGGAAAATGCCTGAAAAATGAGAAGTTTTTTGGTGCAGTTTTAAGTCACGTGTCCTTTAAAAAAACGCAACAAAAATGTGGTAAAAATGTCTATGTATTTTTGGCGGCAGATCAGTAAGAAAGTAGTGTATTCAAGTGAATTAATATCTGGTTTTATCAGGACAAACTGGCCCTTCATTTGATGGTAAATGTAAATTGATGTTTCCTGATTTTTTTTTAATTATCAAAGGAAAACTGGCCCAAAATAGTAAAAAAGTTTTTTTAACGATTTATTATTATTATTATTATTATTATTATTTATTATACAGGACTTATATATATTTCTTGGCAGTACCTTGACCCACCACCAATGAACAACTAAATAAGTCTACTCCTGCTGTTTCATGAAGACAGCACATACAGTATTTATTCCACCGCAATCACACTGACACTAAATACAAAAGCTTTTTTTTTTTTTTTTTTTGTACTCAAAGTGGTAGATAAACTGCAGGAAAAGAAAAAAAAAATCAGGTAATGTTACATATGTGCAAGTATGCATTGCATACTAGCACATTATGTAAAACGTACCTTAAAAGGAAGCCCTCCAGCTGCACGCTGTCCACCACTACAGAGGCTTCCATCTTCACCCTGTCTTCCTTCCGATTCGTGAGCTC